AATCTAATCAACATATCTAACACGATTAAATCAACGAATGAAATCATGGAAAAATAAAAATAGAAGTATGTTTGTATTCGCATGTATTGTACTGTATATGCATTGTAAAACTTTTCAAAAAAATGTAGAACAGTACCGTGAGAATTGACTATCTATCCGTGATAAACATTGACACTGGCCGACCTATGGCTAATAGTAATGTCGTATCGACATTCTAAATCTCCGTTTTATCTTGCATAAATCTACCTTAATAACATGGCCCGCGATATTTCGTGCATGGGAGCAGGACGGAAAATTGAAAGAGAACGAAAGTGAAAGGCGCGAATTCCATAGTCAACTACATACGAACTGGCCACGTGCCTCTTATATTTCTCCATATACTGCCGGATGAATGAAATAATAAAGAATTTTTACATAATGGCCATAAATATCATACGGCAAATCGTGAGAAATATATAAAAATATTCGAAGAGAAAAGTTTTCGAATTTTGCCAAGTTTAAAAAATATCGAGAATCGTGTTTTAGAAGGTTAGATTAAATTACTTTGGAAAACATTAAGACGCACGTTCTCGAATTCTGTTCTGAAAGTTAAAAAATACGCAAGGATTTTCGTCGAATATATTTTTTTTTAATTTTAAAGTTGAATAACTTATTATTCTCTAAACTATTATAAAAAAATAATACAAATAATATAAGATTTTTAACAAACAACTTTTTAATTTGTTTAACAGAATATATTCAATTCTTAAATTCTACGCTCGATAAAACAGGCTCAATTTTATTAATGTGTTTATCAATTAAAATTGAATATAAAATAATTATAATGTATGTAATTATAATTCATACACAACGTGATATTAAAAATATCCACAATTTGATCGCTATAGGTAATAATTTCTCTATTCTTCAATGAAAGGTTAACCAGTCAAGTACATCAATGGAATGTTGCCGTACCAAATGATCTCAGATATTTATATTTGCAAATATCACGTAATAACGAATAACTTTCACTTGATGACTATTTTTGTTTCTTAGAAAGAATGAAATTATACATATTATATGACCACCATCTAAATTTTTATGACATTATGTGTATCCTGTTGTGTATAACTATATTAACAAATAGTTTAAATATTTCACAAATTTTTTAAACAATTACGATCATTTAATTATGGTATGTTATTTTTTTTTTTTTTGGGAATATAATTAATTACGTAATTATTTTCTATATCAAATTTTCATCTTCTTTTGTAATAGCAAGATCTTTGGCAAGGAGTTATCATTCGTCATAGTCTGATAGTCATACATGTTGTTAATCAGTAATAGATTTGATGATTAAGATTTTTCCATTCAATTACTTTATATATCAAATTTTATGATTCATTGAATAAATTTTTGCAAAATAGATCTGATAGATGTATAAATTTGAAATTCATAAATTCAAATATTTTTTTTTCTATATTACTTACTTTTTCATACAATTGCATTTACATTTTTATAAATTTTCACAAGATTTCTTTCGATGTGAATCATCAATTTCATGAACAGAATTTATTTAAATGTTATACATCACATCTCTCCATAAAATAAAAAAAAAAAAAAACTAGAAAAACTTTCATTCGACTTCTTTTCTAAAAATATGTCAAGAATATCTTTCTCTAATTATATTAGTTTTATATATTTATTTAAATAATTAAAATAATTAAGATGTGTTAATGTTTAATGTTTATGAGTACATAACACCGATATAGATATTTTATAAATTATTTTAACGTTTATAACAACTGCTATTAATTATCAAAGAAATTGGTCAAGCAATGGATAGCGATAATGGTATACGGTGAAATAAAATATATACGGTGAGCGCTCCTGTGCTCCCATTAACAAGTATTCCAAGATCGTCACTGGCGTGACGAACACATTAATTAATTAAGTATTCTGATCTGTTCTTATTCTTTTCCTTCAACCCATAATGAGACTCAAATCGTTGACTTCGCTCTAGAAATTCGACGATCCTGCCAACTGAACAAGTTCCGGAATCTTTGCTTCTATAATAATATTGCCGCTTATTAATCTTATTAATTTACGCTGTTAGGTTATTTGAATCAAAATGATGCTACTACATTTAAAACATTGACCTTTTTCTAAATTATTATAACGGATACAAAAAATATTTATTATCTTATTTTTTAATAAAGTATTTTTTTTTATTAGATTTTATATTTCATTTTTAATAGAATCACGTAATTTCGTAATCGTATAAAATAAAATTAATGTCGCGGATAGGAAGGAATAATTATATATGAAATATATGTTATATTTTTTTCATTAATATTTATACACATATATCGAATATATAATCGAAATAACAATAAAAAATTTTTAAATTATCGTTAGTTTTGAAAATTAATTAATTCTGTATTATGTTGTTAACATGATACAATTACAATTGCACGTACTCAAAATGAAAATGTTTCTAATTTCTTGTGCGATTTTACATATCTTTATAGTTCGCTTCTTGATTAAAACATTGCGTGACTTATAATTCCTTATCGAATGTAATTTGAATTACATTGCAATGTTTTTGATTTTCTCTTTAATTTGTTGAATTACAATAATATCGCAAGTATACATTTTTCTTTTCGCATAAAATTTAGGACGTTTACTTTGAATTTCATTTATTTTTTTTAGCAAACTATAGATTTATTAAATTAGGAAAATATAAAATGTTTAAAAAGTATGTTAATAAGTATATTTAAAAATTTTGAAACTTTTGTCTGTTTTTACATGCATATGTATAAATAATATGTGGAAAACACAATGATAATATCTTCATAAGGATGTAAAAAAAAAAATTAAATTAGATAATTTTGTAGACAATTATTGACAAAAAGTTAATAATCAATTTGTCGTTACAAAAAGTTTTGTACGATCAAAGAGATAATATAGTTATCTAGTACTTTTTTATAACGATCAAGATTGTGATTAATGGAGTTATTCAGACATTTTTTTCTAGAAATATTGGAAAGTGTAGAACGGATAATAGAAAGGGAATTATTACACAAGGGAAATCTCAATTTTACCTGAACTTTATTTTCCTTTCAATCTATAATTGACTTACTTGTTAAATTGTAGTAGATACTAATAAAACTGGTATAAAATAGTTTCATATCTCTCTCTCTCTGTCTCTCTC